CACACACACACACACACATACATACATACATACATACATACATACATAGAGATATCCTTGATCCTTCCTCTTCACCCACTTCCAGCACCAGCAAGGTGAGGCTGCTCATTTATTTAAATTTATTACTGTATTACTGATAATTTATCCAAACTCTTTATGGCAACACTGACACATGCTTATATCCTTCTTGATATTATCAATTTATTAACCTTTTAAGGGTTGGTCCCATACACATATGGCTTAACAGCTAGGGTTGGTCCTGTACTTGTACACCAAAATTCTAGCACCTTCAAATCAAGCGGGAGAAAGCTGGTAGGCCTACATGTGAGTAGAATGGGTCTGCATGGTCAATGTACACAGTTGGAAAATAATTGGGGCACCTGCATTGCATTGTGGGAATGCCATTTCAGTACGCCTTGTTAACCATGCCTCGCAGTAAGAAATTCCTCACTCCCCAGCTAATTGGGACTCTTTTGCTCCCAAGTGATAGTTCTAACACAGATGGAATTGTCAGTTAAGATGAATTTCATGGTTTTGAGGAGTTTGTGAATGAAAGTAAAGAACATAATACCGGCAATAGTGATGAAAACCCAGATGACCCCCAGCCTTCCACCTCTGGTGCTGGGCCATCTTGTTCACATTCAGTTGTACCAGAATGAAAGAGGAAACTCATATTTTTCCATGTCCAGGACTCAGATGTGAGCAGTGATGAAGATAGTGAATATGATATCCAAGCTCTTGAAAACAGTTCCAGTAGCGAGAGTGAAGTAGAATATTCTCCACTGAAGTGTCGGTATATATGACGCAACATGCACTCTGGTAGTGTGCCATATGCTATTTGAAGGGGAAGGAGTACATCCTGTGACCATACAGCAGGAACAGATAGTGAAAATGAAGATGATATTGTTACAATTGGGATGGATAATATGCATGCGTCATCAGATGGTGGTGGTGCCATGTGCCATGAGGCACCAGCAGCACCCCATGCTGGTACCCACGCTGCTGACTCAGGTGAGCTACAACAAAGCCCACCCTCACCAACCCACCCACCCACCACACCAACATGCACAACCACAACCACCTGTCAATATTCAGTACCCACCAGCAGACCGCATCTGGGATTGGCAGGAAAGTGCCAATTTTGTTCCCAATCCCAATCACTTTGATGTTAAGGCAAAGTGGAATGTGGCCACCTTGTACACTTGAGAACAATGCCACTGAACTGGAATGTTTTGAGTTATTCTTTGATTAGCCCCTGATGGAAATTATTGTCAGGGAAAGCAAAACATACTTCAATTACACCATGGCAAACACAGTTCTTTCACCAAGATCATGCCTACACCAGTGGAAGGAGACAACTGTGGCTGAGATGTATCATTTCTTTCCCACAATAATACTTATGCCACAAACCATACCCCGGCCGGGATTGAACCCGCAGTCAGAGAGTCTCAAAACTCCAGCCCGTCGCTGGAGTTTTGAGACTCTCTGACCGCGGGTTCAATCCCGGCCGGGGTATGGTTTGTTTGCAATCGTGTCATTACGATTTCGTGAGTCATGCTAATGCCACTTGTGTATAAGCACAGTGTCAAATCATACTGGTTGACACCCCAGCTTTCAGTGATATAATACCAGTGAATCGATTTGTGCTACTATTATGTATGCTACACTTCTCAGACAAAACCAGGCCTGACAGAGAAGATAGGTTATATAAGATTAGGAATGTGTTTATGTATCTGAAACATAAACTCTGTATGTATTTTTATCCCATGAGGAAGCTTGTTATTGATGAGTCTGATATTGTTCAGAGGTAGACTGTCATTCAAGCAGTATATACCAAGCAAGAGGAAACGCTTTGGTATAAAGTTGTTTGTACTTTGTGATTGCTGCAGTGGTCTTGTATTGGATATTATTGTGTACACTGGAAGTAATACATTGCAAGATACCAGGAAGTTATTGGGTATCTCTAGTGATGTGGTTAGGACAATGATAGAACCATATCTTGGCAAGGGGCATACATTACATACTGATAACTGGTACACAAGCCCCTTATTCAGTGATTTTTTGCGAGTGAACGTGACAGATGTGTGCGGTACAATGCGTGCAAATTGTAATCATATGCTCATATGTTCGTGTTTGGCACTCGTAGAGGCGAGGTGTAGGCGTTTGCTGCCAATGACATCATGGCATTTCGATGGCCTGACAAAGGAGATGTCACACTGTTGACATCAATTCACTGAAACGAAATGACAGACACTGGCAGGCAGAATAGAGGCCAATGAACCCATCTAAAATCTGCAGCTGTGATGGACTACACTCAATATACGCTCAGTGAACAAATGTGACATGCAAATTGAGCTTATTGATTGTGTTCACGAGAGTTATAAGTGGTACATAAAATGTTTTTCATCTTCTGGACATTTCCATGCTCAATGCTTATAATATGTACAAGTTGAAGATCAGAAACAAACCATCATATGGTCAAATTTGTTTGACATCAGACAAATATTCAAGTACCAAGTAACAGCACCTGTAATAGAAAACTGTCTATGAACTGATCAACAGCTACTCTCTTCTGAGTCCTGGTGATCACTGCCTAATACAACTGCCTCCTACTATGAAGAAAACTGCTCATAAGAGGTGTTTTGTCTGTGCTCATACAAAAAAAAAAAAACGCCCACAAAAACGCAAAGACACTTGTTTTGTGTGTGTGAGGAGTGTAAAACACCACTGTGCATGACACCAGGGTTCCACAAGCTGGAGCACTTCTAGGAACATTTCCAGTGACTATAAGTGTTTTTATATTAGAGAAAAATAGTGATAAACAACATTTTTTATTGTTGGTTTGTGTGTACATATTTTGTAAACAATAGAATGATGATAATGTTTGTACGGTTATTGTGTAGCATACGAATGAATTTATATACAATGTTCAATGTATTTGTCTCACAGGCCATAAAAGTTACTTGAAAAATGAAATATTAAAAAATAAAAGATGAAAAACATTAAAAGTAAATATGTGTAAGATTAGCGAGTGACAGGCAGTCGGTCATGTTGCCATATAAATGGTTCACTTTATCACCTTCACGCTTCTATATTTCGGTAAGTATTGATTGCAAAAAAAAAAAAATTTGGGTCTATTACAATCAGAAAAATAATCTTAAGATTTTGGTAAGACTTTTTTTTTTTTTTTTTCTAATATTTTCGACCCAGGGTTGGAGTTAAGGATCGAGTGTCTCGACCCCCAAAGGGTTAAGCAAATTTACTTTTTACTCATTACAGTACATATATCAAAAATTTAAATAGAGTCTAATTGGTTCCTGTATGAACATCTTGTTACATCACTCTGATCTACCAGTGAGTGATAGGTTAGCCACCTGGGGTCTTCCCAAGGTGGTAACATGTAGTCACAAGGTTAAGCCTGAACTTGAAATAAAAAATTTATCAATATATTCAGTTTGTTTATAATTATTGCACTCTGGAGAATAATGAAGATGGAAATGTATTTATTTTCTGTTCAAATACTCATTAGTATATACAGCCTCTCCTCACTTAGCAATGTGCTCATTTACCAACTACTCGGACTTATGACGGGCTCTCTGACCAACATGCATACCTAAATAATGTATATTAGAATTGATTTCCTCTATTCTGTTCATTACAATATACAGTACACTACTGTATAAACTGTGTTAATGTCACCCTTGCACCATTTATAAAAATTTTAGTATATTTTAATGTTTACAGTGGTGTTCTGTATATAGTAATAAACAGAATAGAGGAAATCGGCTCTAATATACATTATTTAGATATGTATACTGGTCAGAGAGCCTGTCGTAAGTCTGAGTCATCGGTAATTGAGTACATCGTTAAGTGAGGAGAGGCTGTATTTTTTTACTTTTATTTTCATCTTAACAATCTAATTTTTGTTATGCATCAATGTATAATGTGCTAGAAAATAATGCTAACACTGAACCACTTACAACTTGACATTGTGAGGTGTTGTGTAAAAAATTCCCCATGGGGAAGTGGAACAAAATTCATCCTCTGTAAGCCATACATGTTGTAGGAGGCGACTAAATTGCTGGGAACAAGGGGCTAGTAACCCCTTCTCCTGTATATATTACTAAATTTAAAAGTTGAAACTTTCGTTTTTCCTTTCGGGCCACCCCGCCTCAGCGGGATATGACCAGTTTGTTGAAAGAAGAAGAATGTATAAAAATTATTGGCAGGATTTGAAAGGCATGTCACCTTGTGTACACTGTTATTGTAGGGGGTTTTGCTTCAGCACAGTGTTGTAGTGCTGTATGGGCCAGTTTTCCTATTTAGAAATGTCATTTAATTGGGTACCTGTCATGTGTTGTAAATGAGGACTGAACGACTTTTCTAAAACTTTAACAAATTTTGTTATGATATTTAACTCTGATCTCAAGGAAATTTCACAACATTAATTATACGTATTTTCATTTTTAATACAGATATATGCAATACAGAAGGTTCTGGGTAGCACACTATCTGTAGTTTGTAAGCTTCAGTCTTGTAAATGAATGATCATGAACCTGCCTTTTGTCTAAACACTGGTTGATGTGTTTTTTATGGTACTGACTGAATAATGAGAGCTATTAACCTGTCATTGCATGTTAGTCTTCATTTATGTATATACAGACTATTAATACTGCTTTTTTATTAATTTCTTATACTTGTCTGTGCACGATTATTTGGCAAGTGTAGTTTTTATTATTCTTGTGTAATGTTTCCAGCTTTCTCATATATATTTTTACCCTTATATTATTCATGATAGTCTTCATAAACTATAGATCTTTCAGTTTGATTATCCTTGATAGTATATTATCATTATTGAAAAGCATAAATGTTATATATTCATTACAGATCATTACAGAAGTATGAATTTTATTATGCTATACTAAAGAGCAAAATTTTGTAGTACTGTATTTTATGTATTTTTGTTTTGTTTCTTTAAGACGTTTATTTTTCCCCCTCAGATGTGGAGGATTCTACAGACTTAGCCTCACAGTTCCAGTCATCAGTGAGTATTGGAGAGCATTCCTTCTCCCAGATGGAGGAAGACATTGACAAGCAGCGACTTTTAGGAGGTCAGCCATCATATGCCACGGCTGACCCGGAAATAGCCTCCATGACCTCTGACCTCCAGCACAAGCAGAGGTGAGCAAGGCTTAAAATGTACTCGTTGAAAATTATTAATTAATATGTTAACATATAGATTTCTTCAAACCATTATAAATGCTTTATAACCCGTGTCTGTAGTTGTTGATTTTGGAATTAACATTTTTATAAAAAACATTAACATTTAAATCAGGTTAAATTAAAGAAATTTTTATGATAGGAATTTTTTTTTAATACGTATTAGAGAAACTTTGCGGATGTAATTGATTAGCAGTTTTAAACTGAATCTGCCGCTAAACAAAAATATCCTAGATTTGAGGAGTTTAACCTTTAAACTGTCCAAACGTAGATCTACGTTTTTTCAACATTTGAAAGTATGTAAAAAAAGTAGATCTTTTTTTTTTATATTTGAAAACGTGTAAAAAAACTTTGATTACTTTTTTTTTTTTTCTTTATATTTGAAAATACGTAAATAAAACGTTGATCTACTTTTGGAGCGCTGCGCATGTGAACGTGGATCTGCTTGGTCAGTTTAAGGGTTAATATCATAGGTAGGCTGTTAGAATGGCAAATGGGGAAAACAAGAACCATGATTATGCCTTTGCATAAAAGGAAAAGTAAGTTATGTGTAAGAAATATGAGGCATTGTTATTCAGGGTACAATGGGCATGTTGTGTGGCAGGTTAATGATTGAAGGAAAAGAAAATTGATGATCACATTCAATTGCACCTCATTTACGTGTATTGTACATAACCAAAACTGTAGTTTCATACAGTAATAATGTATCGCTAGATCACATCAGTCATCAGTAGTACATAAATTATTCTCTTGGATGAGATGAACAAAAATTCCAATGCTACTGTTGATTCTTCTCTTAATATTAATATCTAGTTCATTGGATAGCTCTTGGTCACAGTAATTCCAGAGAAATGAGCTTTAACAAAATTTATGTTGTCAAAGTGGAAACACTATTTAGAGAAACATAAGACAAAGCTAACAGAAAATAATTGTGAATTATTATGCATGAAATTTAACTTGTACTGTACTGTGAATTGTTTTAAAGAAGGGAGTGCATAGCTTAATAGAGTAAAGTGAAACTAGTTTGAATTTTTTGTGTTACTCGGCTTCTATACTGCAGTTGTGGTTGTTCATTGTTCAGTATATGTTTATGGATTATGAAGGAAGTTAAAGTATGGAAAGGAGGAAATTATTTGGTAACAATATTGAGTACACATTAAGAATATTGATTCCCTTGCAATAACAGTTGGAGGGTAATATAATTGTGATGTCAACACAGCTATGGAAAGATAGCAATTGAGCAAATGATGGTGATTATTTTTTTCCTTGAGTCACCCTGCTCCGACAGGAAATGGCTGTTTGGCTTAAAAAAAAAAAAAAAATCCTTCTTATCATCTTCAATCCTTAAAACTTTCAGGGTCGACAGGCCCTCTCCCAGACTTGTTCTCAGGGTCGCCAAATTTAAAAAAAAAAAAAAAAATCTTATGAAAAGATAGAGAATCTTTTCCCGATCATAATGACACCAAAAGTATGAAATTTGATGGAAAACTTACGGAATTATGCTCTCGCGAAGTTAGCGGTCTCGACGATGTTTACGCATCAGCGATTTTGCCCACTTTGAGCCCTATTTTCGGCCAATTCCAGTGTACTAGTCGACAAAAATCATAACTATTTCACTAGAACTCCATTTTTTCTATCGATTGAATACAAGAAACCACCCATTTAGTTATTTCAACTATCCAATAAAGTGGTCAGAATTTAGCAATTTTGCTAATTTCGCACAAATTTCAAAAGATGCCAATTTCCAAATAGGACCCAGAATAAACAAGGAAGACATTCCTGGCACTAAAATAACATTTCCTCTGTCCATTAGTCATGTCCCCAGGCCCCTCTTACATTCTTTTGCTTTCCACTTTGAATTTTTATTCTCACAAAAAATAGAAGATTTACTGTTATGCAGACTACTGCATTAGTGTAGAAATGGTATAAATAATATCAGTGCACTTGTGAAAGAATATTAGACTCACCAGTTGACATGTATTGGACGCGTAGCATGATTTGTTTACTTTTGAACTTTGGCAAAAATCGAAGATTTCTGCTAATTTGAGCTCAATTTCAAGGTACTTTTCATTGTAAAACCAATCAAAATCGTCTCAATTTCTGTAATATGTCTTCATTCTATAAAATGAGACCAGGAAAACTAGAATACCATCATAAATACCATACCGAAATACAGTGCAAAGTCGCTGTTTTAAACCAAAAACACTGTCAAAGTTTTTTTTTCTCATTACGCACTGTGTGCTGCAGGATTTTTTTTATACTGTGCACACTGACCACATAGACCCATTCTTTCATATGTAGGCCTACCAGCTTTCACTAGATTTGAGGGTGCTAGAATTTAGGCATACTAGTACGTCAAAAACCCTGGTGCGCAAGCCGTACTAGTACGTCGGAAACCCTGAAAGGGTTAAATACTGATGTATTGTACTTAGCAAAATGTTTGGATTTATTTTGGACTACGTAGGTGCCAACCAGCTGCCTTGTCTGGTGGCTCATAGAAGTTCCAATTTCATAAAAAAAAAAAAAATTACAAGGCTGTTGAAAATTGGAAATAGAATATAACTGAGAAAATAAAACAAATATTGAAAATAATTTTTTTTATGGCATTTTCAAGTTTAATTTAGCGAGTCCCTAAATCTTATATTCTTGTACTGCTTTACCGTAGAGCAGGTCATGTACTCGGGTCCAGTGTTTTTGTTTATTACTCAAGAAATGCCTCAGCCAAATGGCTTCAAATTTTCATTGCTGGTGACTTGTTATAACTAAGGGAAAGTTCATGAAACTATTGGGATAGGTAGGTGCCCTTTTGTCAGTTTTATAAAGCCATTCCTGGTTTTGATTTCTGTGCGTTAACTTGGGAAAGCCTTTTCTAATCAGCTTCAAACTTTCAACACTGGTGTAACCTGGTCAGTAATTGTTATGGGAGTGTGTAGGTACCAGTTTGCCAATCTTATTTTTAAAATGGTGTGATATTATTTTCCATGAAATAACTTGAGCATACCTTTTCTGAATAGTTTGAATCTTGAATAGCTGATGCATTTTTTTAAAAGAATTTTGAGTTTAGGTTATGTAGATGCTAATTTACTAACTTAACATAGTTAATAAACTTATACTTATTGGATTCTGTGATCAGCTTCTGATGAGCTTCAAACTTCTAGTAGTAGTATGTATTTATCTTAAGTGAGGTTCACATTGATTTTGGGTTGTGTAAGTTTTAATATTAACAGTTTTATTAAATTGGGTTGGTATAATAACTGGAGAAGTTTAAGTCTTAGTCACTAAGCCTTAAAAGATGGTGCATCTTAGAGAAAAAAGGTTTGGATTGATTTTGGGCTATGCAAGTGTCCATATGCTAATTTTGTTGAAGGAATTGAGGAAAATTAAAATATTCCCTTTTTGTGCAAAACCAATAACTTTAAACCTTTACTGCCAATAACTTGAGAATGAAACTTACAGGTGGTTTCAAACTTGGCGCTTTTGTATTTTGGGTCTGTGCAAGAACTAGAGACCATTTCTTCTAATTGGCTTTAAAATTTAAAAGCTGGTGTATCTTACTTGGTGGAAGGTTCGAATTGGTTGTGGGCTATGCTGTATGTGCCAGTTTGAGGTCGATGCATTAACCACGAATGCTTTTTCTGATTGGCTTCAAATTTTCAGTACTGACTTTTAACTGCTTGAGAAAATTTTGCTGTTCACTGTTCTATTCCTCTTGCATGCATCATGATAGATGGGAGCTGGGCTTATGGGATATGAGAATGTCTTGGATCACAGTGACTGAAACACAGTTTCATTTATTTAACACTGTAGTTAACAAAGAAAATGTACAGTACTCAAACAGGTCTCTATCCTTTTCACCTTATTACTGTATCTCCCTTCCCACTACTATTCCTTATCTCCCGTTTTCTCGATTTCTCTCTCCTATTCAGTCCCACATTGTGTTATGCAAGATGTTTTGCATATGCCTACTGTTGTGGTCAAGTGTGGTGCAGGAGGAATGTGATGACAGAAATGAAGGGTCTGGTAGTAGCTGTACTCTCTCTCTCTAAATCTCTCTCTCTATCTCTGTCTCTATCTATCTATATCCTCTTCATTCCCACCCTCTCATGCTTCATATCCTACATCTTTACCCTTGCTCCTCACTCCCTCCATGTGAAGGTGAAGGGTATTTGATTCCTGAAAACATTGCCTGGTAAGGTAGTCTACCTGGAGGGCATTCCGGGGATCAATGCAGCCACAGCCCAGTCCATGACCAGGCCTCCTGGTGGATCAGGGCCTGATCAACCAGGCTATCACTGCTGGCTGCACACAGTCCAATGTATGAACCACAGCCTGGCTGATCCGGCACCGACTTTAAGTATCTGTCCAGCTCCCTCTTGAAGGCAGCCAGGGGCCTAATGGTAATTTCCCTTATGCATGGTGGGAGGCTGTTGAACAGTCTTGGGCCCCGGACACTTATGGTGTGCTCTCTTAGTGTACCAATGGTGCCCCTACTTTTCATTGGGGATGTTTTGCACTGCCTGCCTAGTCTTTTACTTTCATAGGGAGTGATTTCTGTGTGCAGATTCAGGACCATTATTTCTAAGATTTTCCAAGTATAGATTATGGTATATCTCACTTTTCTGCATTGCAGCGAGTACAAATCAAGTGCTTCCAAGCGTTCCCAGTAGTTTAGGTGTTTGATAGAACTTATATGTGCAGTAAAGGTTCTCTGTACACTCCACATCTGCAGTTTCACCTGCTTTGAAGAGAGATGTTAAGGTACAGCAGTATTCCAGCCTAGAGAGAACAATATTATTTTTTTTTTATCATCACACTGGCCGATTCCCACCAAGGCAGGGTGGGCCGAAAAAGAAAAACTTTCACCATCATTCACTCCATCACTGTCTTGCCAGAAGGGTGCTTTACACTACAGTTTTTAAACTGCAACATTAACAGTTTAAAAACTGTAGTGTAAAGCACCC